ACTACTACTACTACTACTACGACTACTACGACACGGCTTACGACCGGTCACGCCCGGTCACCTCCGCCAGGTGGAGCGGGTCTCTTCGACTGTATGTCCAGGCGCTGTGCAGGTGCATTTCAAGTGCGACGGCGCCTCGGACAATCACCGGTGTTTTGTGCACTAAGGGGAGTAAGACCAACAGAGCAGGAACCTCGGGGCAAACAGCTTTGCACAGTGACTGGATTGTCTCAGCAACGAAAGAGAGAGAGAGAGAGAGAGAGAGAGACAGAGAGAGAGAGAGAGAGAGGGGAGAAATTAAACGATCGTATAGGCCGTTATACGCCTGTTTTGTTGGACGAAGTGGCCCAGAACAGCTTGTCATGGCCCAACCTTTGGAGTTTGCTCAGCTGTCGCACTGGGATCTATTGAAAGGGTTGAAGGCATACAGATGACTACAGGCAAGCATGGATAAGAAATGAGAGGAAAATTTTGAGGTGTGAGTGTGTAATAGGTCAAACCCTGTAACCCACGAGGTGAAGATAACAAACATGGAAATACTATCTACGAACGACCTACCTGAGCATTTTGCGCTGATCCCATGTTTTGGCTGCTTTTGGTCCTGATCGCCTTTCAAAGTAAAATTGTGATATTGATAAAATACATAATATATATATATATACATATGTGTTTCTTTAAAGTTCAAAGTTCCGTGCGTTGACAACCTTTTCCCGGTAGCATCCTTCAGGACGCTTATGTCACGTCACACGTTCGAATTTCCTCCCTCCAAAGCTGTTTATATAATTGTCTTGAATTAAATGGAGGGTGACACTGACCGTCCGCGGCTGATCCACATAGATGCTACTGGTATAAGGCCTGGTAAGAAGAAAACACTGTCTTCCTCCTGAAGTAAAACGGACTGTGTGGGATTTTGCGGGCTATGTTTTGCTCAGGGCCAAGGAACATTTCTGGGAATGGAACTGTGGATTTGACAAAATGGTTCACATCAAGCAAGCCTCTGAACGCTCAGGTGAGGAACAGGCAACACTTATCTGCCCATGGCAGTTCCAAGAGATGTTGAGACCTGCGCCAGCTGCGGTGGTGCCAGATGGAAGAATAGGCCAGCTGCGTATGGTTGAACAATTTCTGCTCCTCTGCATCGAAACGAACCGCGCAGCTGCTGCGCGGCATGTGGTCGAAACCTTGCTGGGCAAACACACCAGGTGCTCACTCAGAGGATTTCAAAACATATATGCATACGGATCCCCCCAAAAAGGGACCATCACCCCTTGATGCATTCGCAGACCATGCTAGTTTGTCCATATTATGTGTAAGACTTCGCTATGTTTCTTTTGGCATTGTGCCAAGTGACCCTTAGCTGGAGCAGAGTGAACAGCTCAAGACGAGTCATGAATCATGATTGTCGACAGACGTGCAGTCAATTTCCAGAGGCAGCATGCCGATAGCTGCTAGCTGAGATCCTCGCAGGTCTCAGATCCATGACTCAGACATGGACAGTAATTAAGTCCTCCTTGCAAAAATTTGGCATTTTCCTGTTGAGACACTTGAAGATGCACTCATTTGCAGGCACCATGGTCTTTCCAGAGGTGGGCGAACCCGATCACTGTCCAACCCAAAACAAGTCTTTAGGGTCTCTTAGAATCGGATACAGTCACTGAGGATGCCGAGGTAGACAAGGAGGCCTTCAATATGTTTTTTTTTTGATGATTGTGCAGCGCCTGTGCTCGCACTAGAAAGCGTACCTTGTGATGTCCATGGTCTATTTCACAAGCTCGGTGAGAGAGGATGTCTCCTTGTCCTGATAGGTGCAGTGTGGGCACTCAACATTTGTTCTTACACATGTTTGTTTTGCATTTGGGAGTGGAATAGATGTCCTTGTTTTTCCTGGTTGTAGGCGGATGAAAGTGGCAAGTCCAGGACGGTCCGATCCCAAAAAGGTGTCAGCTTTTCGCGTGCCATTGTGGAAGCTATTCCCATTGCCTCTGAGGATGCAAGGCTAAAATGACTCTTGTGTAGTAGTCTGGTAGCTCCCTACTTACTTTAATGATCTTGGTAGCTCCCTTTCCATCACCAGCTTGTCCTGTTCCGTCCTTTGTGCCCCACGAGCCGCAGGAAGAAAGAGGCAGGTTTTCTCGAGGGAGGGAAGTCATTTTCGGTTTCAATCATGTTCAAATCTAGTTAGTGAAAGCATAGTGGGCAACATTAGTGTGACAAGCCGGCTGGACCATATCAGACCTATCGTTTTTTGGATGCCAAGAACCGGAAAAGCCAAGCAGTTGGTTGGACCGCATAATCTCAATGGCTCTTGCTAGAGGTTGCAGGGCGGCACGGGTGGGTTGAAAGAAGTTTGCCTATTTCCACCAGTGCAGTGGCCAGAAGAGAGAAGCACCTGATTGCAACCCACCCACCAAATCTGTGTTGGCCAAGCAAAGAAAGCTACGAACGGAGCAAAGGGCATCGCTACGAACGGAGCGATCGGACGCTACTAGTTAGGAAGCATGCTGGCCGCTTCGAGGCCTGGGAACCGCCGATGTTCCTTCCCCAACCGCGGCGGTCCGAAGGGTCCTTCGGCGAACGGGTCCTAGCTCTCGACCACGGCGCCACAACTTAGGCGGCATCGGGAAGCCCAAGCAAGAGGCCAGCCGCAAAGCTATCTTTGGTGGAAGATACAAAGCTGACGTTGCATGGGCAAAAGAAAAGCGGAAACAACAAAAAGCATTTGACAAAAACAACTATATAAGCAGATCTATGCAGCTGCGCATGCAAGTCACAGGTTTGTTCCATTGGCTTATTTGTTTCGGTGATGACAGCAGAACAGGAATGCTGCAGCCTGGAAGGTGAAGAGCTGCCCGCGACAGGGAAAAGGGCCAAGTAAACGACCTAAATGCAACATCAATGCAACCACCATCACCATGGTACCACCATCATTGGTGTTTGAGTTTATTGTGTTAGACACGATGATTTGATACAACCACCATGAACCACCTCCCTCTTCAATGTCCACATCGACTGGCTGAGCGGGAAAAAGACTCACATCGACTGGCTGAGCCGTGCACGACTCACCGTCCGTTCGCATCTCCGGTGCCAGGTCCGGCGGCCTCAAAGAGGCCTGGCTAAGCCCCGTTCGTAGCGTCTTTGTTAATACTAGCGATGCCAGGAGCTCCGTTCGTAGCTTCTTGTTACTACTAGTAAGGCACCTGTTACTACTAGCGTGGCACTTGTTCCTAGTAGCTTCTTGTTACTACTAGTAAGGCCAGGAGACCCTAGTATCGTCCTTGCTCCTAGTCAGGCCAGGAGCCTTGGGGCGGGAGAGTCCCTGGCCTCCAGTCCCACACACGCCAGGGACCGGTGGTGAAACGGTATGACAATTCCGGTCGACCTGAGCTGCTCAATCGCTTTTGCCTCCAGACCCTGCGGTGCTTGGGCGCGAGGCACCGCTGGCCAAGATGAAATGCCAGCCAACCAACTGCCGACAACAGTGAGGACGCTGAGCATCCAACATCAGGAGGACTTTTAAACGGTATTTGATGTTCAGCGAATTGAACCACTTTGTACTCAATTGGACCTTGGAAGCCCTCAGCAAGGACAGCTTAGCCGTTGCAGCTGCGTGCTTCAACAAGCACGCGGGTTGCCTCGTGCACATTGCCTCCTCTTTGCGTCCAAGATGCAAAG